ATAATGAGGCATTAACGCAAGCTAGACTTCTGCGGTCCTGGTCTGAGGCGTACATCTCCTTAATTGCAAAAGATGGCACTGATCAACAACTAATTGCGAACTATAGGCCAATCTCATTGCTAAATATGGATTATAAGATATTTATGACAATATTAGCAGAAAAAATGAAACCAATCTTGAGTGAACTTATACACTCAGAGTGGTTTCCTGCTAAATAGACAAATTAAAAACAATATTAGGACGGTACTAAATTCGACTGAATACTATGAAGCTCACCCAGAAAAACAGGCAGCTTTATTTTTTTTTAGATGCACAAAAAGCATTTGACAATCTTAACTGGAAATTTACGCTGTATCAAATTAAAAATTAAATCTTGGCACTAATATAGAAAAAACACTACAAGAAACATGCTCAAATAAAAAAGCAAGTGTATTATTAAATGGAGATCGTACTGAAGATTTTGAAATTGCAAAAGGAGTGAGATAAGGGTGTCCATTATCGCCTCTGTTATTTATCTTGTCTTTAGAAGTGTTACTAGCTGACACCAGACAAAACCCAGAGATTTATGGAATTAAGATTAGAAATAAGGAATATAAAGTTCAAGCATTTGCTGATGATTTGGTATTTATAGGGGAAGATCCAATGAATTCGGGACCAATACTGTTGCAACAAATAGAAAAATTTGGGGAAGCAGCAGGATTTAAAATAAATAAAAATAAAACTAAGATGATAGTCAAAAACTGTACAACAAAACAGAAAGTAGAATTAGAAAATACAATAGTAAAAAAGATGAAATACCTGGGAATTTGGATATCACCCAGATGTTCATTATTAAAAGAGGACAATTATGTCAAACTGATTAAGCAAATCAGAAAAGAATTGGAATTATGGGCCAAATTGAAACTGTCTATATTAGGAAGAATAGTAACGTTGAAAATGAATACTTTACCAAAACTAATATATCTATTCCAAATGATTCCAATTAAATTAGGGAAATCTTTTTTATAGAACTAAATAAAATGACATCCAAGTTTGTCTGGTTGGGCAAGCAGCCACGTATTAAAATGAAACTATTACAAGACAATAGGAGCAGAGGCGGTCTTGGACTACCAGAATGGGAGCTTTATTATCAGGCAGCGGTGTTGAGTTGGATTAAGGATTGGATTAAATTAAAAGACAAAAGAATCTTAACATTAGAAGGACGTGAAGTCTTGATAGGTTGGCATGCATTTTTGTGGGAAAGTAAAAGTAATATACATACCTATTTCAATCAACACCTAATAAGAGATTCATTTATTATAATTTGGAAAAAAATAAAAGGTAAAGACTATACAGAAATCCCACAATGGCTGTCAACCATGGAAGCCAAAATACATCCAAATAGTTTCGACCTACAGAAAATGGTAAGCTACAAAGAACTATTAGATAGTCAAGGGAAATTAAAATCAAACCAAGAACTGAAAGAAAATGGAATTATGATCGATTGGTGGCCATATTTGCAAATTCAAAACAAATATAAAAAAGACTCAAAAGATTTTGGATTTGACCAAGGGCAGAACTAGCTAGATAAAATATTAATGGGACCAGAACAAAAACTTATAACTAAAATATATAAATATTTATTAGATTTTAAAATGGAAGAAGAAATAGTTAAAAGTACAATGATTGCATGGGCACAGAATTTTGGATACACTATAGAATTAGAGGAATGGGAAAAAATATGGAATATAAATTATAAATTAACGGTATCTGCCGCATACAAAGAAAACATATATAAAATGTTTTATAGATGGTATTTTGCCCCAAAAAGATTGGCAAAAATCTACTCCAATATGAGTCCTAAATGTTGGAAGTGCAAAAAAGTTGATGGTACATTTTATCACACGTGGTGGATGTGCCCCGAGGCCAGGACATACTGGGTACAAATTAAAAATCGGTTAAAAGAGATCACTGGCTATCAGATTGAGCTCAGACCAGAATCCTTCCTATTAGGAATCATTAAAGAAAGACTTCCAAAAGAAGTAAAATACCTAGTGTTACATATTATAACAGCTGCCAGAATAGCTTTTGCGCAGGTATGGAAAACACCAAATACCACTAATGAAGAACTAATAATACACAAAGTAACAGAAAGTGCTGAGATGAATATGCTAACAATGAAATTGAAAGAAAAAGAGACTCTGAATTCTTCACAATTTGGAACAATTGGTATAAATGGCTAACAAACAGAACCAAGAAGTGAGACAAAAATGTTAATTGAAACAACCCTTAAGAAAGTAAAATAATTTTTTTGTAAACTATATAAACATATAAGAATAGTAATTATAGCTAAAGATATTATTTAATAGTAGTATATTGCAATATAATGCAATATAATATTTAAATCAAAATCTTCTATAGGTGCCAAGAACATTGCTGATACCATAATGTTTTACAATGTAAAAAAAAAGAAAATTAATAAAAATTATTTAAAAAAGAAAAAGAAAATTACAGACCAATCTCTTTATGCTGTGTCACCTGTAAAGTCATGGAATCAGTTATTAACCAAGCCATCATCCTCCACTTAGAAACAAACAACCTACTCTCTAATAAACAATTTGGTTTCAGGAAAAAACTATCCTGTAATCTGCAACTCTTACACTGCAAAAACATATGGACCACACAACTCGATCAGGGCAAAGCAATAGACGCAATCTATGTAGACTTCTGTAAAGCCTTTGATTCAGTGGTACATGACAAACTACTCCTAAAATGAAAATCTTACAGTATCTCTGGTCACCTGCATAACTGGATAGAAGCATTCCTGTCAAACAGGCAAGAAATGGTCAAAATTGGGAGGGTCCTATCTGTCAACAGTGGTGTCCCCCGAGGCAGTGTTTTAGGACCAACTCTCTTCATACTCTACATAAATGACCTCTATGATCATATTAAGAGCAACTGCGTTCTCTTCGCTGATGATGTAAAGCTATTCAATAATACAAACAATACTGCTACCCTTCAAAAAGACCTTGACTATGTATCAGAATGGTCAAACAAATGGCAACTTCAAATCTCAACAAATAAATGCTCTGTCCTACATATTGGCAAAAAAATTCAGAAAATAAAATACAGGCTGAATAGTCAAGACCTTGTTGATGATCCAAACTCTGTCAAGGATTTTGGAGTACTCATCTCTAATGCTCTAAGTGCTTACAGCCCACTGTAACTACATAGCCAAAAAGGTGTTAAGAGTTGTTAACCTAATCTTACATAGCTTTTTCTCTGGTAATATTACACTAATAACTAGACCATACAAAACATTTGTTAGACCCATACTAAAATACAGCTCATCAGTCTGGAACCCACATTATGTATCTGATATTGACACAGTTGAGAAAATCCAGAAATATTTCACAAGAAGAGTTCTCCACTCCTTTACTTGTTGCAGAATACCTTATGCCACCAGACTCAAAATTCTAGACCTAGAAAATCTAGAAGTATGCTGCCTTCGGTCCGATCTAAGTATAGTATATAAAATCATACATTGCAATGTCCTACCTGTCAATGAATACTTCAGCTTCAACCATAACAACACAAGAGCAAACAATAGATACAAACTCAAGGTTAATCGCACCAAACTTGATTGCAGGAAATACGACTTTAGCAACAGAGTGGTCAATGTCTGGAATACTCTACCTGACTCTGTGGTTTCTTCCCCAAACCCCAAAAACTTTAACCTTAGACTTTCTACTATTGACCTCACCCTTTTCCTAAGAGGTCTGTAGGGGTGTGCATAAGTGCACCACCGTGCCTACCATCCTTGTTTATTTTTATTTTTCTTATATGTATCCATTTCATATATTCATAACTATGTTTATACTTATACCTGTTATCTTATAATCACTTGACAAAATAAATAAAAAATAAACATAACAACAACAACAATAACAATAACAAGGGCTTGATAGGTAGATTAAAAAGGTCAAGTCCAGTCTAAATACCTGGCTAATTGCAATGGATAACAACAACAACAACAACAACAACAACAACAGTAACAGCAACAACAAATACATACAAAGGCAGAACTGGAAGATAGCATCAGGCAACAAATGCTGCCTCTGCAAAAAGCTGAAGAAATAGTTGTCTATTTAGTTAGCTGCTGCAAGAAGATTGCATAGACTGAGTACAACAAAGTTATGACAAATTAGCCACAATGTTGCATTGGAAGGTCTGCAAGAAATGCCATTTTTTTGCATACAAGAAGTGATGGGACCACAATAGAAAAAGTAATAGAAAATGAAGAAGCTAAATTGCTCTGGGACTTTAGAATTCAAAAAGACAAGACCTGCTACATAACACCCCAAACCAGAGGTGGGCTGCTGCCAGTTCACACCGGTTCTAGTGAACCGGTAGTTAAGATTTGGCACAGTTTGGGGAACTGACAAATCCTACCACTGGCTGGCCCCACCAACACCCTTTTTTTGGCCTGTTTTTGGGGGTCATTTTTAGGCCACTTTTGGGCCATTTTTTTGGACTGTTTTTGGCCCCAAAACAATAAAAAATGGCTTTAGATAGATAGATAGATAGATAGATAGATAGATAGATAGATAGATGATAGATAAATAAAATTCAGAGGGCAGCCCTGGCCATGTTAGTTTTCTTCTTTATGGCATGTCTATTTATTTGCCCATTAATTTGCCAATAATTTTAGTTATACCTCTTCATTTGACAAGCAGATTTTCTACATGCTGTCTAAAACATGTTGCCTGCATGTTTCCCCACATACTGTATCTAGAAAGAGTATTTTCAAGGTGAATGTATGGAAATGCAATGATGCAATCATGTCTGTTCTAGTACATCCTCCTATCATCTCTGCTAAAATGTTCTGAATGAGATACTGTATGTCCCTTAGGCAAAAATAATTAGAAAATTATGTAAAATAATGTTAAAAAGCATACTTGTACAGAATTAAATATATCAGCCATTCTACAATAATAGAAATGTATGCAAATTCTACTTACTGACACATTTCGGTGAAGGTGACCATCCATTTTTTGTGCATTCAACCACCTTTCCTCCATTATCTGTTTCAAGTGTAAATCCGCTGTCACACTGAACTCGAATTAGATCCCCATTATGGTATATAGTTCTTTGAGGTTGGAAAAAACCATTCAATATACTCGGAGAGTTACATGTAATTTCTAGAGAAAATAAATCATATAGTATATTGAAAAAAGAAATACTTGCACTCATATCAGATTATGGGCATTTCTCTATATTAGCACAGAACAATAACAAAATTATATGTATTTGTGTGTGTGTGTGTGTGTGTGTGTGTGTATGTGTATCACCACGATATATTAATCAATATTACCATGTTTGTCAATAGGCATGCCTATTCATAGGCATTAACTTATTTAAAACTACCAGTTAGTATCTAAAATATACTGTGAAATTAGCCAACTTCATTAAAAGTATTTTTGGAAGTTTTAAATTAAATTCAACAAGTTGCAATAATTATACTTCCCTTTTATTTTGATTTTGAATTGAAATATAAAGCCACTTCTGCCAGCATGCAAGAGGTTGCCCAGAAGAGCCCCACTGTACATGCACACACTCCTGCTACACAACAGTTGATTGTCGGGTATCTGGGGTGCATGCATGGAGGGTGAGGGTGCATGGGAGAGACATGTGCATGCGCAGAGATGCACGGGGTGAGCAGGGATCACACACACATGTGCAGAGATGCATGGTGCACATGTGGATCATGTCTGCATGCAGAAGGGGCATGGGGGCAGTGCGCATAGCCTTCTGAGTGCTGGTGTGAGCGCGAGCACATGAGCATGCATGCAATTTTTGACACGGGAGCCGAAAAAGGTTTACCACCACTGATATAACCTACTGATCTATTAGAATCAATAAGACCTATATGGCTGATAGCAGGCCCTTGGATTAAAACATGAACCAAAGTCTCCAGCTAGGATTTCATAATATAAAAGAACTATTTGTAATTTGTTAAGCTGTTGCAATTTGTGTAATATGATTTTGCAAAGTAGATAGTTTCATAAGTATATTTGGAACTAGAAGGAGGAAACTGTGAGAAATAAGGAAGTGAAAGTAACAGATGGATGAAGGTTTCAGATGTACACGGGTATATGTAGAAACTTGTGGTCAGCATGAAAGAACAAGGAAGTAACTCATGAAATATGACAGGAAAGTGACCATCTATGTGTGTTCATTAGAAGAAAGGTATAAAAAGTCAAGCTTGACATCAGCTCAGGCCACTGACCTATAGTTATCCTTGCTGGACCAGCTATGTCATTGGACCTCATTGCAATGGAATATTGATGTAAGTTGTGTTATGATGTTGTTTATGTTCCAAATTACTTCTAAAATAAATCTCTGCATTTAAAGTAAGAATTGTTTTCTTGTGTTGCTGTCTTTTGTTTCTTTCGTTGGATTTTTCCATGACAAGTTGGTTATAGCTCATTTTCTAATTAATCTTCTAAATAATCACAGTTTTTCTAATCAGGATGGCATGACAACATTTACAAAAAGTCCCCAGTTTCGGGATGATCAAAGAGTGATATCTGGTCTTGCTCTTGCAGCTTGGGAATATTCTCCTTGAGAATAGCTGCCCTAAGTTGAGGATCACAACCCCTCTCCTATAGGAGATGCCCAGGCTGAGTCCAAAGGTGGAATCAAATGCACCACCAGTCTTGAGTCCCTTCAAGAGATTGAAACTCAGCCCACCTTGAATTCTGTGACTCTTATCTTCTGCCAGTTTGCTTTGACTGCTAGTAGTTCAGATTCTTGTAGAGAATCTTTAGCAAGCAACCAATCTATATTTATTTATACTGCCAGACTCTTGATTTCTTGCACTTGACACTTCTGGATTTCTTGAAGCTAGTAGTTAATGTAAAACCAAAGATATTTGTGTCTATATGTGTGAATTTTTCTTATGATTTATTCTTAATCATATTATTGAATTTTAATTTTTGATTATTTTATTGCTAATTTAATATCTTTAAATTGAAATGGCTGGTATGAATAAAAAACAAACATTTCCACAGAATTGTTTTGTTGCCTGTAGTGGAACTGCTGGTTCTGGGAAAAAGTTGAACAGCTAGAATTGTAACATGTCCCTCCCTAGACATACGCCAATCTGCTTCTAATCCTAAAATTAGAAGCACATCATTATTCTTTACCAGTAGCAAAAGAAGTTCCTATGGCATTGTTAGAAACTGAGTTGGAATTTCTATTAGTATTGATATTTAGATTTTGGGATGGCAACAGTTTATAAATTCTTTAAAAATAAAAACATGCAGTAGGTCAGTCATGGAGTGTATTGTTGGCAAAAGCAATTACTGTACCATTTAAAAATATTTTTATAAAAATATTACTCTATGGCAGGGGTGGGATTCTACCAGTTCGCACCTATTCGCTAGAACCAGTTGTTAACATTCTAAGCAGTTCGGAGAACCAGTTGTTAGAAGAAATTACTGGCCTAATCCTGTAAGGAAGGAAGGAAGGAAACAAAACATTCTGGTGTTGCTTACAAAAATTGCCTCTCTGTTAACCCTTATTACATTCTTGGCAGGACTGGACTTCCTGTCTCAGGAATGTCTCTGGGGTTTTTTTCCCCTCCTTTGCTAGTACTTTGCTTGTGTGGAGTGACCATTCAAAGTTACAATGGCACTGAAAAAAGTGATTTATGACCATTTTTCACACTTACGACTGTTGCAACATCCACACAGTCATGAGAGGCCAGGCGAGGAGATGCATGCCTCGATGTGAGTGATATTGAGTTGGCCACACCCAGCCAATAACATAACCACCAAGCCATGTCTACCCAGTTACATGACCACCAAGCCACACCCACCATATAAGCCACACCCACAGAACCGGTTGTTAAAACAATTGAATTCCACCCCTGCTCTATGGATATATTACTCTACATTAATGAAAGAGCAGTCTTTTGGGGAAAATTATCAAGGGTGCAGTGTGCAGTTTTTGCACTAATTGAACCATGAAATGGCCAAAGGGTATGTCTTTCATTGCACGACTCTCTTTTTCAATTCTGCTTACCAAGGCAAACAGGCAGTTTTGTCCAGGCCCCATTGTCACAAAAAGATCTGTTCTGACCTTCCATGGCATAATAATTTTGGCATCTGAATTCTACTGAGGAGCCAGATCTGTACTGCTGCTCAGATAAAGGAATAATGTCTCCATTCTCAATCCTGGGTGGATCCCCGCAGCTTTGTCCTCTTTCTATTAAACAGAGAACAAAAAACCAATAGGAAATGATAGCTCAAGTGGATGAAATTCCTTAAAATAATAATTACAAAGAAAGAAATTGGCTTAAAATTATTACAGATTCGGCTCATTTTTTCCTCATAAAATCAGGTAATAATTCAAGTGGAATTATTTCATAAGCAAGTATTTATGAAACTTCAGCATCAGAACACATGCTACATCTCAACAGAACTACAATGTACCCACTTTCTGAACTGAAGAAGCTTCTTGGATAGGATATGAAACGTCTTCAAGGAAAAACAAAGAAAGTCCAATAGTCTTTTGAAAAAGCACCTTTGGGACAATGTACCCAACTGTTCACAATCTACTTTTCTCTATTTCTCTCTATTTCTCTCTCTCCCCTCCCCCCTCTTCATTCATATTCTTTTTGCTCTATGTTGACCCAGTTCTTGACAGTAATATATGATGTAATTGTATGTAGAAATGACATTGGGAGAAAGAAAAAAAAATGCAGCCAAGGGAACTGTCAGATAAAAGGTAACCCACTCTAGGAATAGACATGGAAAACAGTTCAGAAAAGACCCTCCCAGATTCAAAGGCACAGGGGGAAGGAATCTACTTTAGGATTGCAGAATTCTATTAATTAACTCTATAGAAAATTAGAATTAGCTACTCTAACCACACATCCCCTCTGGTCTACCTCGCAAGACCAACACATAATCACTCTATTAAAGACCAAAAAGGATAATATTCAGTTAAAATAATAATTAGACACAGATAGAGATGATAAAATAACTGCATAGTAACATCAGTATTACATGCTTGCTCATTCCATTGGAAAAAAGAAAATTAATACACTCAGGATCTGTAATTTTCAGGCCCTCATGTGTAGATATTTCAAACTTTATATTTTGTTGTTTCACTTGTTTTAAACAATATGCTAACAATTTATCTGCATATTCAATTTACATAGTTTCTGATTATTTTATAAATATTTCTTTTAGGAGAAATATTTATACCAAGTTGAAAATGCACAAGATTTAGGCTTCCTCCTACATATAAAAGATGAAGGGACAATTTTAAAAAATATCTTCTGAACTAATTTTTGAAGAGCTATAAAAATTATCATAATGATCTGAAAATTATATGTCTGCAAACAAAGAATAATAAAATATCCTTCATCACCTAAATATTCTGGACCTATGGATTTATTAAATAAAATCATAATCAGTTCAATATTAACATTGACCATATGATGAATTCATCCAAGCAATTTCAAACAAAAGAGATTTTTCATCAGGGACAATATGGGACTCTTTTAATGAAATGACATCAAATATACTTTATACAACCTTTGTAATTTTTGAAACATATTTTTTGCCTACCAATTTTATGCATATTTTCAACCACTATGGAGTCATAGTTCTTAGCTAAAGTTCAAGATTTTGGACTAAACTGTAGAAACAATTCAGATGTTTGGAAAAATATGCTTCAGTTGTTTTGTTTTAGATTACAACTATTAAAATTCCAAGACAAGATGTGAATTATTTCAGGGAAGATGAAATCATTTTTAAAAGAATGGGAGTTTAGAAGCAAATGTCCATATTTGTTATGTTATCATAATTGTTTTAATCAGTTATGATTCCAGAGGAATCCATCATATTGACAGCAAGCTTACCAGAGATACATAATGGGAAATCCATGTAACCGTCAACACACTTTCTGACTGATGGAACCACAAGCACATATCCTTCATTACACTGAAATTGTAGGTTCTGGTTACTTTGAATAAGTCGAGCTTTTCTTTGATTCCCAAACACAAACAAGTTTTTTGCTGCTAACTGTTGTCTTGTGATTCTGCAGGGTGCTAAAAAAGAGAAAAGAAGGTAGATCTTCTCAAGGGAGATAATTTGTCCATTGGTTTCCCTCAGTTTCACTACCAAGAAAATCAGCCTGGTTTGCAAATCAAAACTGACAGTTCCAGGCTAAAATCAAATAAACCAAGTTAGAGCACAGTATTATTGATGAACAAGTTATGATTCAGCAATAGATTTTAGACGTATCACAGAAGACTGGCTTGTAGAAGTATGTACAAACAGATGGTCTTGTTTATTTCAAGCTAAGAACAGACAGCTCAACTCAGAATCTTTTGCGAAGACATTTTGAGTTGACGAGTTGTAATGGAACAGAATTTCAGACAGCTGGAGTATTCCAAAGTCTATGGAAATATGATGAAGATTGCTTCCCTTGATTTCATTTTTTTTACAATTTTATTTTATTCAAAAGGTTAAAATATAAAATTCAAAAGAAAAAAATAAACAGAGACAAAACTAAACTAGACAAAAACATTTAAAATGTGAATTAAAAAAAGGTCAAAAGTACATATTCTATCCCTCCCTTGTTGAACACTGACAAATCTATTGCAACAATAATAATTCCACCCTTACAAAGCAAGTCCAGAATTTATAAGCTTGTACATCTATTTGCAATCCAATTGATCTGTCATGCATTACATAAATGAAATAAGAACTGTTGACAGGTTAAGCAACAGCAAAGTTAAAGTTCAGACCACTCACTATATCAACTTATTTGCTTGCACAAATTCTGCATTTTCTCCCAGGTCTGCACTAGTCAAAGAAAGCATGATGGCTTACCCAAGCATTTTGGTGGATGAGGTGTCCATTCTTGTCCCTTACACTGAATCCATTCAGGTCCTTCCAAGACATAGCCAGGGTTGCACCTGTATTGTACTCGGTCATTTTGCAGGTACTTGGCTTTCTCAATGCTCACAATTTCCCCAAAGTCAATCTCATTTGGTTCTTCACATTCTGAAATTATATTTACATTAAATTATCTCACCTGCTTCGACAACCTTGCTCTTCCTATCTACTCTTATGAGGTGTGAGATAACAAATTTCCCTCCTAGATAATTAGTTCCCACTTTTGTCTAAACTAGTAAATCAATACCTGCTGCACACTTAATCCAAGCTACAGGTAGTACTTGACTCATTGCGTAGTGACAGTCAAAGTTCCAAAGGGGATATTTACAACTTGGATTTGAAGTTCTGACAGTTGCCCATCCCAATGGTGACACGACCACAATTTGGACATTGGGCAACTTTATTGCATTTAGAGTCATTTTTTTTATAAATAAATTTTATTAATTATACAATTAAAACAAACCAACTACACATACACAAATGAAAGAAAAGAAAAGAAGGAGAAGAAAATAGAAAGAAAAAATAGAAAGCAATTAAAAACATTCTCATCTTCAACAGTTTGTAAGATCTCTTTTTTTTTAAATAACCCTTAATTTATGCCATATACCCACACCTAATCTTTACATATATCTGTATATCACTGCTATAGGTTTATACTATCCTCTTTTACCTTATAGTGTAAAATCTATTTTTGTTCAGTCCATTTGTACCAGCAGTTCCAGCTATTGTAGTATATTGAGGTCTTTATATTTTAGTGCCAAAGTTAGTTTGTCCATTTCTGCACAACTTGAGATTTTTTGAATGATTATTTCCTCTGATGGAACCTGAGGCTGCTTCCAACATTGGGTAAAGGCTAGTCTGGCCGCAGTCAAAATGTGTATTATTATGTATTTTGCTTTTTTTGATATTTTGGTAATTCTTTATTAAAGATCCCTGACAAAAAGGACTCTGGTTTGTATTTGATCTGCTCTTTTGTCATTTCTTCCAGCCAAATTTTAATTTTCTGCCAATATTTTTGAGCTTCTGTACAGGACCACCACATATGGGAAAAAGTTCCTTCTTTTTTTTTGCATTTCCAGCAATTTGGACTCATATTGGGGTGCATCTTAGCTAACCTCGAAGGAGGAAGGTGCCATCTATAAAACATTTTATAGGCATTTTCTTTATATGCTACAGATTTTGTAATCTTATTGTTTCTACCCCAGACCTTTTCCCATTCTGTTAAGGTGATGCTACGTCCTACATTCCTACTCTAGGCAATCATGTTCCCTTTTACAATTTCTTCTTCTAATTTGACTTCTAATAAATAATTATAAAATTTTGTTATATTTTTTTTTGCCTGATCCTAGTAAAATTTTGTCTAATTGCTGGAGTTTATTGTTGATTACAAATTCTTTTTTGTCCTGTTTGTATCTACTTTGAATTTGAAGGTATGCCCACTGATCAATTTTTTGTCCTCGCTCTTGAAGTTCTTGCCTCGATTTCAAATTTCCTTGTGTATCCAATAGATCCTTATATTTAATCATTTTAGTGATATCCAGATTATTTGGGTGAATCATCGCCTCCATTGTTGAAGTCCAGATTGGTACTTTTATACAGTGTTTTTTCCATATTTTCTTCCAATTAGTTAATAATGAGTCTCTGATTAGATGTCTGTGGAAATATTTTTGACTAGTTTTCCCTACATCCCATAAAAAAGCATGCTACCCCCTCCGCAAATCATGGCCTTCTAAAAATAATATTCTCTTGTTAGTTAAATTCACCCATTCCTTCAACCATACTAAAGAGGCAGCAATATAATGCAACTCCCAATTTGGCAGTGCCAGTCCTCCCCTGCTCTTCATATCCTGCATTGCCTTTAAATTTATTCTAGGTTTTTTTCGTTGCCAAATAAATTTAACAGTTATTTTGTTGAGTTCTTCAAAGAATTTTTTGTGTAGTTTAATTGGGATCGTCTGAAATAGATATAGAAATTTTGGAAGAATATTCATTTTAGTGGCAGCGATACTGCCTAATAATGAAAGTTGCAGCTTACCCCACGATTCTAAATCCTTCCTTACCTGTTGCATCAATTTATCATAAGTATTTTCCTTGAGTGTCTTAAAATGTGCTGTCAACCATATTCCTAAGTATTTAACTTTCTTTGTCACTTGTATTTCCATAACTTCTTCTAACTCTATTTTCTGTTTTTCTGTTAAATTTTTAGTCATTAATTTAGTTTTCTTCCTATTAATTTTAGGTCCTGCTACTGCTCCAAATTGTTCTAATTCATTCATCAATTTTTGTCCTCTTTCTATTGGTTCCTCAATGAAAAAAATCATATCATCCACAAACGCCTGCAACTTATATTCTTCTTTCTTAACCTTTAATCCTTTTATGTCTGGGTTCTGTCTAAGTCTGTCTAACACTGACTATGAAATATTTACTTCTATTATAGCAAGCAGATTAAAAAGAATGCTAAACGCGCATATACATGAAGACCAAAATGGATTTCTCCCGACCAGACAAATCAGGAACAATTTAAGAACAGTAGTAGATGTCTTAGAATTTTATGAAGCTCACCCTGAAAAACAAATTGCACTTATGTTTTTAGATGCAGAGAAGGCCTTCAACAATTTAAATTGGCAATTTTTAATCAAAAAAAATTATAATATGAATCTAGGCACCAAATTTGAAAATATTATAAGAACTATTTATGATACACAACAAGCTAATATTATAATAAATGGGGAAAAAGGAGTCAGATAGGGCTGCCCACTCTCATCCCTGCGATTCATATTATCATTAGAATCATTATTAATGTGAATTAAACAGAACCCAGATATAAAAGGATTAAAGGTTAAGAAAGAAGAATATAAGTTGCAAGGGTTTGCGGACGATATGATTTTTTTCATTGAGGTGCATTTAGAGTAATTTATAGTGTCCTGCAGTCACATTACCCTGTTTTATGTCACTTTTGCCAAAAAATAGTATTTACTTGCAGTTTTATCATTCCCCTGCCCATAGCGAATCATTGTTTCTAGTAACAACTATGGATTTGCTTAACAACGATGGTAATTTACTTAATGACCAGTACAAAAAAGGTCATACAATTGGGTCAGTCACTTTAAGACCGTAACAAGTTATGATCATGATGAGTTGGCTCCAAATGAGTCATAACTCAAGGACTACCTAGAATAAGCAAACTTCCCTTGCCTAACCTAAACAAATCTGGGGATAGGAAGGTAGAGAGGTTGAAAGGCTATTAAAATTGCCCCACCAAAAGCATTCCTTTGAATGCAATTCTGTGGAATTTCATCCTTGCCAGTGCTTTGACTTACACTGGGTGGTCCTGGAGATATCTTTCTGACAGTTTTAGGTATTGGATTTCCATGACTAAATCTTTCTCAATTGTAATCACCTTTCTCTTTCATCAGCAATATCTGAACAAAATTTTTAATGCTGCCAACAGTTCCTTTCCTAGAAAAAATAAACCATTGCTTACTAGTATAGGCCTTGATATTAATTTCTCAGTACACATTATCTGTAGCTTTTTTGTTTTCATCAGGTCTAAATGCTGTCAGCTGAGAATTTATTCTGTATTTCTTAACTCTCTCATCTTGTTCTTCCCTTGGTTTTTTTTCTTTTCTTTTTTTAGAGATGTGGAACTTAATGGGGCTCAAAGAAAATACAATAGTGGGAGAGTAGACACACATAGACCCACAAATATTATACTGCATAAAGAAAGCAAATATACATTTCAAATCAGCCTTGCTGGGCAGAATCGGGAAGATAATAATTGTAGAATAATTGCCTCTAATCCTTCAGCTAGTGATTTTGAAAGAGCCTGGAATTGGGTAACATTCATAACTGCTTATGCCAATGAGTTACTAATTAATTTTACAATTATTGGGAAAGGAATACTTTCTATGCTCTCTGTTGATTGAGGCCAGTTTTCCTCTTTCTCTTCCTTCATGAATGACTTTTGCAACCATCAAAAACAATGATTAATATATGATTGGCTCAAAAGTATGGCTATTAATATGAATATCAGCAAATATAGTCTTAGCTTCAGTATCTTGTGAAATCAACATTATCCTCCTTGTCTTCTCATGAAGGATATAATCATTGTGAGTTTAGACATCCACTAATTTCTTTCTATTTATCCTGATATAAACCCAACTGAAATACATCTCTATACTTTCAATCACTCTGACTTATGAAGCCTCATCTTACACATGGAAATCACTTGGTTATTATCATATCAACTTTATTAACTGAAACAAAGAGCCTCAAAATGGGCATGAATATTGATGCAAAGTATTTTTCTATCCACAAATCAACTGCTGAAAAATCTTGCATCTGAAAAGGGGATTGGGATTATAAATCCATGATATTCTTAAAGAATCTGGCATTACAAATGTCCAGAAAGCCACAAATGAAAAATTGAACTCTTGGCTAAAAGTAACTGGGCCTTTAATGAATGCAGCAGAAACTGTTTTTCTTAGTAACCCCTTGATTTCTTTTCTTAACTTACCATTTTGAGAAGAGCAGCCTGGCCAAAGAAGAAAAGCAACAACCAGAAGCAGCCAGCCTTTCATAGCTTTTCAGGCAATGTCCCAACCACAACAATTCAGTTCAGCAGTTTAGCTAGTTCAGCTGATTTCTCTGAGCTACTATTATTCCTTTGTCTTTTTGCTTTGCTTTTTGTTAGGGAACTAATGAGGAGGAAATATTACTCAGATATTAGTTTGACCTTGATAACTAAAAAGGGGCTTCCTGAGAACTTTATGAGAACTTTGTGAACTTTGTGTTGCAATGATGATAACAAACAAATCAAACAACAGTTCGGCTTTTCAGTGCTTCCAATTCTTCAGAAAAAAAAAGAACACCACTTACATTCCAGTGTTGATAAATTCTGAATCTTCCCAGAGTCTTCAGTAGCAGCAGCTAATGGTATAATTATCAAACATGACTTTTATGAAAAATTATTGGCTATGGAAAACATTTTCATATTCTTCTATGTCTTAACATTTTTATTGTAAATCATCCAGAATGACTCAGATAAAAAGGATAGTGTAGAAATTTGATAACTAAATAAATTACATTTGATATCTGACACATCTATTTTGGTGGAATGAAACCCATGAATGGAATATACAACTAGAGGGATTTAAATTATTTAAAAGAAAGAGACCTAATGAAAGGAGGTGGAGTTGTGCTATATATAAGAAACATCTATAGCTCAACAAAAATACAACAGAATAATGGTTAAAAACATCTTGAATGCATTTGGATCAATATAAAAGGAAAAAATAATGACATTAAGATAGGTGTATACTATAGACTTTAACTACTCTGACATCAACTGGGATACAAACCTAGTGGAAGATCAAACAGATTCCTGACAAATCTAGCAGATAACTTTGTCTCCCAAAAGGTAGAGACCAAGTTTAGGGTTAAAATAACAAAAAAAGCTTTTTTTTCTGAAATGGTATAAGATTTCCTGCATGAACAAGGGATTGAACTAGAAGACCTTCAAGTTCTTTATTAATTGAAAAAAGTTCCTCAAGATGGGAGTGAATTTATAATGATACAAAGTATTTTGCTATTTACAAATCAGTTGCTGAAAAATGTTGTATTTGAAAAGGGGATTGGAATTATAAATGTATGATATTCTTAAAGAATCTGGCATTACAAATTATCAGAAAGCCACAAATGAAAAATTGAACTCTTTGTTTTTGTTACAAGTAACTGGGCCTTTAATGAATGCAGCAGAAACTGTTTTTCTTAGTAACCCCTTGATTTATCTTTGTCTTAACTTACTATTTTGAGAAGAGTAACCTGGCCAGAGAAGAAATGCAACTACCAGGAAGGGCCAGCCCTTCATAGCTCTTCAGATAACCTCCCAAATCCCAACCACAAAAATTCAATACAGAAGTTTGGCTATTTCAGCTGATTTGTCCAAGCAACTATCATCCCTTCTTCCTTTTTCTTGGTTACTTTGCTTTTTGTTAGGGAACTAGTGAGGAGGAAATATTACTGAAACAAGAATTTGACCTTGATAGCTAAAAAAGGGTCTTCCTGAGAACTTTATGAGAGTTTTGTAAACTTTGTGTTGCAATAGTAATACCAAACAAATCAAACAACAGTTCAGCTTTTCAGGCGGTGCTTCCAATTCTTCAGAAAGAAAAAGAACACCACTTGCATTCTTAACACTGAAAACTCTGAATAATAATTTATTTTGTACATAAAAACAACAGCATAGCATGCACATGCACACATGTGTGCGCGCACATACATAGCTGTAGCTGTACAAACTTTTTAAATGCCAGAAAATAAGCGTTTGACTTCCTGTTTCCTTAATGGTTTATACAGTACTTCTTGGAACAATATCTTGCATTTATAAAACTGAAGAAAACCCTATTTTACGAAGACATGTAATCATGCCCTTTATTAAATTATTCAATTCCTCCAGCAAAGGCAAGAGAAAGTACTTAGGAATATTTATTTATTTTTGCTCACTTATAGACTGGAATCTCGTCAGGCTAAAGCACTAATCTCTATATGTATCTCCTATGAAAGGCTAGATATGGTCCTTCTTCACTGTCTTCCTGCATATCAAAGATTCCAAGCTGACTTGTCTTTGGGAAAGGTCTCTTCCCTCCTGCAACCAGGAGTGGGATTCAACTGGTATTACTACTGTTTCGGTGATTATGTTTTGCATGTGCAATGGCACTTTGCACATGTGTAATAAACCTTAAGCTGTAAGGCCCAGACAGCTGATAAGCACTGCACATGGGTGCACAGTGTTTGAAAAGGCACTTCTTTACTGCTTTTTCAGCCTCAGCTGTGCCGGGCAATGCAGCTGAGTTTGAAAAAGCAGGAAATAAAGGACAGGTAAGAGTCCAGGTGGGTGGGTGGGCCAAACAGCAGCAGACACCGAACCAGTTCGGTGTCTGCTGCTCTTCAGAGCTACCTGTTCTATAGAACGGGCAGAACTGGTTGCATCCCACCCCTGCCTGCAACTCTGGATTACATTCCATCAAATCACCTCCCTCTCCAAAACATAGTCCCTTCCTCCATCTTCTCTTTTTCCTTGACGTTCCTCATGGGAATTGGTTACTTGGGGTACAGATGATGCCTCAGATCTCTCTTGTCTGCTGAATCCTTCATGCCAGGTGGCTCCTCATGCAACATATCTATACATTTAGCAAATTTCTCCCTGTTTTTCCTGTCTTTCATTGGGAAATAAAGGCTTGAAATTGAAGGTAGAACCTCGCTGGCCTCACATTGCTCTCCTGTTGGAGCCCCTCTGTGAGACAACAGAGTTTGAAAGGCCATAGCTTTGTATGTGATATTAATTCAGAGACTACAAAATAAAACTATTATTGTGTTATCTTTACTACCATACATTACTGAACAGTAAATAAAAGAGGGTTTCTTACCTACTGTGTCTCCTTTGCTGAAAGATAAAGATGATCTAGTCTCCATTACATAGGTTTGGTAAGCATCAAAGATATGACTTCTGTTTTCCACTGTTTCTAATCAGTTCTATTACAACACAGCTTGCAATATTCATACAAGATGGGCCTAAATGAAACATTTTCTTTATTTAAGCCTAAACAACAGGTTTTCTTGCATTCCGTGAAAATATGTCTTGAATTGCCAGATGTTGGTGGTCTCCAGTGGTGCAGAAAGGCTTGCATAACCATTAAACTCTTCTTTGGAATCTGAGGCTGCCGTATTATTTCTCAAAAGCAGGCTGGAGTTTTTAAACTGTAGAACTTCACAGCCACCAATATCTGAGGCACCACTGATAGTGCTTGTGCAGGACCACAGCCTGTAGCTAAGACATAGTTAATAGTGCTTGTGCAGAACAAGAGATCTACCAAGTTTAAAGCTGCCTTCTGGCCATGCTTGGAAAAACAGGAACACCCACCATGTAGCCCTGTGCCTACATTAACTTTGTGTAGAATATCTTCAATGGATTGGTCTGAATTTACATCACGGCAAATTTTAGCCCATTTTGTGCCAACTAACAATTTTTAAAGATGTGTAGTTGGAAACTCTGCAGCAACTTCTAAGATGTAGCTTAATCTTGTTTTACTTAATATAATTAAAACATGGCTCTGCTGATTGGCCTAGGGGCATTGCATTGGGGTGTTTTATACTGGAGGTGGTTGAGAAAAGGCTCTACCTTCACCCCATTGTCTATTAGTTCATTCCTTGGCTATCTTTGCTAATTTGTTAACATTTATCATTTTATTCATCTTTTGTATTATCATTTTCATCTTGTTGTAAACTGCCTGGCTTGCTGGAGTCACTTATATGGGCAGCATATAAATTTAATAAATAAATATATTTTTTATACAATATCTTACTGTTAAAAAGAAAACAAAGCAAAACAAAAAACAAAACCCTGTGTCTGTTTCTGATTTTCTCATGTTAGTTATTAGAACTGGGAAAAATCCATTTGACTGAACCTCCCTCTGATTCTGAACATCAAGTTCCATTATGCTAACTCCAGAACAACAACAGCAGATGCAACTGTTTGTGCATCTTTGATTGGATGTGAATTGGAAAGTTTACTGTATACCTTTGTTTCTTTACAAAATATATTATAAATGGTTTATCAATAAAAATTATTTTTGAATTTCTTTTATTTCTTGAAGAATTCAAGAATCTATATAATAAAAAATATCAATTACAATTATCTATTGTCATTGCTTTAATTTGGGATGATGATTGATTGTTCAGATTAATCAAATTTACATTTTAATATTTTATCTGCCTTAAAGATGTTCTACACACTTGGTTTTAAATGTTATCATTTTCCCAGTAATTTCAGTTGGTAACATCTGTCTTTTACAGAGTTGGCTTTTAGGTTTGAATCCACTGTTTATAACTGTATACAATCCAGCTTCATGTGGTCATATTAAAGAGACTGATATATGATTTTAGACATTCATTTTCTGGTTTAAAGGGTGCTGCGTATGTTATATTGTTTATTTACTTAGATCTATAAAATAAAATATGAACAATAAAGAAATAAATTTGCATCTGTACATTTTATGTTATTCTTTTTTAAACTGATTCAGCTGATCTGTGCCTTAATGCAGCCTGCAATAATTTTTAATATATCAAAGTACATGGGCAAGAAGATTCTGAAATGTCAATATTGTTAGGAATCTGTCCACCAATTAGTTGGGTTGGCAATATATAAACCAACAATGTATGTTTGTAGCTTTAAGACAGAGTCACTGTATTGATTTGTACTATGTTCCGATTGGTTGATTGTATTGTGAATTGCCATAAGAGGGAGCTAGAGATCATAGCTTGCTCTCTCTGACATGCTCTCTCTCTCTGACATTATGTCTCTCTGACATTCTGTTTCTCTGACATTCTGATGCTATCTAAGGTTCTCTTCTGTGCTTATACTTTGATATCTTTGTTTACTGTAAATGACAAAGGCAACCGGTAAGAAGATTTTGTAATTGGATATTCTTTGGACTGTTAAACATATATGACCTGGACCGTATATTGGACTGTGCTATTTCTTAAGGTAAACTTTAAATCAATTCAGTATAGCTGTGTGTGGCTGAATAATTATTCATAACTACTCTCATAAATGTTTCCATGTGCATATCCTTGTTACTCAAGGGTTATTCTGTACATATCATAGCAAATATCACCATTTTTCAAGCAAAATCACTAAACTTCTCAAGTGACTCAAAAAAGTGACTGTAACCAATTTATTACTGAGCAATTTCTTTCTCTTTTTAAAAAGATGACTTTTGACACAATGACATGTAATAAAATGTAATATTCTTCTCCAAGAAGAATTCCTCTCCCAAAATATTTGCTTGTCTTTTCAAATCTTGTGTTCTAAAGCAAAGAATAATGGAGAAAGTTGGCATTTTTATCACATAGCTTTCTTTATTGGAAAATTCAAGGAGAGTGTTCTATTTGCTACAATTGCTTCGTCATTAATATGTACTCTCCAACCAAATTTTAAATGCTGGCAAATTCCTGTTGTTTAAAATATTTGTAAGGACATTCCAAAATTATCAAAAGGTTATTCTGCATCCAGGAATATTACTGCTGCCTTCCTGTTTTTTCTTTTTTCTTTTTACATTGATGTTTTGGTCTCTTGAATTGTTATGGATTTGCTTAATATTGAACCATTTTGTTCAGTAAATTCTTTAATTTTAAGTCTCCACTATATTTTCAAGACTTCTTCTCTTTATGTTCAATAATGTGCATGGAATATAATTTCTTACAGATTTTTGCAAGTTATGCGATTTCTGTTCTCTCATACAACAATTTATTCCCATATTTTCTTTTTCTTTTGCAAACCTTATAAGAATCTCCTTCATGTAAGCTGCATTTGTTTCTGCATTTTTTTTTTGCATGTGAATAATATGCTTTCTAGAAGTAACAGCTTTTCATACATGGACCAATCAAAAAGATTTTGATCCATGTATGAGGATATCTACTTCCTTGAGATGGTGTAAGAACTTTAGAGACCCAGCACATGTCAGTTCTTGAAAATAGTTGATGTCTTGCTGGACAAAACATATCTTGGTTTTGGATTTTGTATCTGATCTGCTTTGTAGTTAATATATTTGTAACTTAGATAACTTTTTTGTGTTGCACCCTCTTCGCTACATTCATAATTTCACTTTTTAATTCCAATTTTATTTTATTTTATTTAGCATTTTCCCTTATGATTTCTGGAGATTTTTATTTAATGCTGTCATTTATGATGTTGATTTCTTGAATAGTTGGTTAAGGATGTCTGACTCCTATGTTTCTTCCTTCCTCTCTTTTGACATCGGTTGTGAAAATCTTTCCCATACACAATTCCCTCTTATTTTATTGCTGTAACCAAACTATTCTATTTTCTTTATTCTAAATAATGGATAGTCAGTGGGATGGCAATTCTTCTAACAATTTCTCCCAAACCAACTTCCCCCCCACTTGCTTAACCCCCCCCCCCAACTCTCTTTTCTTTAACCCTCTTAAAATCTTTCTCTAACCAATAGCAAAGAAAACATTCAGGATATACTTCTTTTCTGCCCTTCAGCCACCTCCTCAGATTCTACAAAATAATATAAATTAATTGTTCACTGTTCAATTGTCTCCTTTAGTGCCATTTAGTGGGCTGTGAAAGCAACTATGTTTGGAGCCAGAAAGAAAGAAATATATATTTTTGGCTCTGAGTCATTGTTGACTTTTGAAAACTGCCTGGACAAATACCTACAATGTTCTTGGCAAAATTTCATTAGTGGTTTGCCATTGGCTCCTTCTGAGGGCTGAGAAAGAACGATTGGCCCAAGATCACCCAATTGTCTTTGTGCCCAAAGCTGCACTAGAACTTGCTGCATCAAACTTTGATTTAGTCTCCAATAAAGAAAACTCCACAGCTAGTGTAAAAGATCTGATTCTGATTGGGATCATGGAGCCCCAAAATAAAAGTCATATAAATTATGGAATCAATCCAAATAGATTCCTATGTACATTTTTTTTTAAGTTGGATAAGGAAGCATAGATGCACTTTCCCAATAGGGAAAAACTGGGGGATGTCCAGATGACAATTTTTTTAATGGACTAAAATCTGCCTGCAATTTACTGATACCTGAACCTAAAAAAATATTTAGGTTATTATTTTTCAAATGTACCACCTCCTCCCTTTTAAAAGCCCAGCCTCAGATTCATGCACATTCCTAGGATTTGATATTCCACCCCCACATCCATGCAACTATTTGCAGTGAGGGCCTGCTGCTCCCTTCCACACACAATACTGCATTTAAATTCAGTTTTCTATCGCTGCTGCAAAACTTTTAATTTGTCATCCTGGCCTAGTCATTATCTGCTTGACAGAGAGAAATAATGTATATGTAGTTTACTGTCAAAAAGAAATAAAAAGGAAAACAAAAGAAAAGGAAAGGAAAAACAAAACCTTCTGTCTGTTTGTGATTTTCCCATCTTAGATGCTACTAGGCACAAACCCATTTGGCTGAACCTCCCTCTGAATATGAACATCAAGTTAGATTGTGCTAACTCCGGAGCAACAACAGCTGAAGCAACTGTCGGTGCATCTTTGATTGGATAGTGAATTGGAATGTTTACTGTATTATTCTGTTTCTTTACAAAATATACTACAAACTGGCAATAAAAATCATTTTTGGATTTTTTTTTTAATTTTTTGAAGAATTCAACATATCCATGTACTAAAAATATCAATTACAATTATCTATTACTATTACTTTAAGATGGGTTGCTGATTGATAATTCAGAATAATCAAATGTTTATAGCTAAAATGGAGGGAGGGAAATCAATATTCCCCACTCCAGGTGCATTTTTAAAAAGTTATTTATAATGTTGCATTATAATATTTTATCTGCCTTAAAGATGCTCTATAAACTTGTTTTTAATTTTTTTCATTTTCCCAGTAATTACTGTTGGTAAAATTTGTCTTTCATGAAATAGGCTTTTAGGTTTGGATCCATTGTTTATAGCTGTATACAATCCAGCTTCATGTAGTCACATGAAAGAGAATGATATAATTTCCGACATTCATCTTCTTTTTGCTTCAAAGGGGCTGTATATGTCCTGTTCTTCATTTACTTAGATCTGTAGAATAAAAAGTGAATAGCAAATACATGAATTTGCATCTGTACATTTTATGTTATTATTTTTTAAACCGATTCATTTGATCTGCAACAGAATGCAGCCTGCAATCATTTCAACATATCAAACTACATAGGCAAGAAGATTCTGAAATGTGAAAATCACAATTTTTTAAAGCCAAATGGCTAAAACTACTCAAGTGACTCAAAAACTGTTGACTGTTCTGTCACTGAGCATTTTCTTCCTTTTTTAAAGACTACTTCTGACATGACATGTAATAAATTTTAATAATTTATAAGGCATTCTTAATATTTTGAGAGATAAACTCCGGAATTTAGAATGAACGTGAAGCATCAACATTTTGAAAATAAGAATAGGGAATTAGATGTTACCAAACTTTAATTCATCCTCACAGGGAATACACTTGAGGAAAGATGGGATACAAATGAAGTGAATAAAAAACCCACAGTATCCTCAGACAACACAGCCAATAGAAGAATACTGGGAACTGTAGCACAGCAATACCAAGAAAGCCCCCATTTCCTTATTAACTAAGAAAGAAAAATGTCCACTATAGAAATATTTGATATGTATATGTTTATCTCAATACAAACTGGCATTTTACTAATAGTGTTTGCATTATTTGCAGTTTCAAATGAAAGCCCCATAATAAGATAAGATTCCTATGATCCAAATGAAATCTTGACGACTTTATGAGCAATGGGAGAAAATTCCTATCGGGATGGGAGTAATATTTAAAAACAATGAGGCATGGGACAAAGAGGAACAATCATTGCCCATCATTGAATCTCTTCTAGTCGGATCCTAAATCCTGGCAGATTCCAAGACTGAAGACCAGGAGATCCCTCTGTTGCGAGGCTGAAATGAGTGGAAATTCTAAATTAACTTCAGTGGGCTATGTTCATTCATTTCATTGTTCTCAGTGGAATAAATTCAATGTGCACCTAAAGTTTTCAGGAAAAGGCAAGTAATTCTTAGATTGGATTTGTTTGTCCCTTGGGAATCAACAGAAGTTCATTTAGTGATGAATAACTTTTCTTGCCCAGGTCATTTCAGAGTCTTCTTGTTCAATCTATTTTTCCATTTATTCTAAGCTTGGAAATATTTCATGGAATATCTTATTTTACATGTAATGAATTATTACATACTGGATGCCAGCATTTCGGCAGTTTGATTTTCACTGGCTCAAGGTTGATTCAGCTTTCCATGCTTCCAAGATTGATAAAATGAGGACCCAGATTGTTGGGGGCAATATGCTGACTCGGTAAATGTATGGGCATTCATTTAAAACCTATTCGTTCTGAGGCAACTAAATTTTTGAGTGAGGCAATGAAATCAGTAAAAATGGCCCACTGGGTTTAAAGTAGAGTTTCTACTCATTTCAGCTCCAGCAAAGGATTCTGAAGATCTGTTAGGCTTCATCAACAGACCAGAAGAGATGAAATGCTGGCAGATGCCAAATTCTGAGACCCAATCCTCATTATTTTTAAGTATTACCCCTGTCCCCATAGTGCTTCTCTTCCATTGTTCTGAGCCAAGGATAACAAACTCAAGGCCTTTGGGCTGAATCTGGCAAATTGGCCGCTTAAATCTGGCCTGCAAGGCCAGCCCAGAAATATCAAAGGAGTGCTGCTGGAGCTGGGGAGGCCAAAACAGGCCATGCTGGGGCCTCCTGGAGCCTCTGAGCAGCTGATGAGGCCCCCACATGGCCTGCTTTTGGGCTTCCTGGCTTCCACCAGCCCTCTGCTGGCCAAAAACTTATAGTAAAGAACTGCAGAAAGAAAGAAGAAGAGGAGCAAAGTTCATCTTGAGCCTGTGTCAAACATCCACCACGACCACCCCCACACTAGCAATGTCCATCATGACCACACCCACTCCCAGCCACCACCTCGGCCCTCCAAGGTCAAACTCAAGCCTGATGTGAATGTCAATGAAATTGAGTTTGACACCCCTGCTCTGAATGGGAAAAAATTTATTTAGATCAAAGGATTCTTAAGAAGTGTTCTGATTCAAAAGTATTGCAGAAAACCTAGTTACCTTAGAATCCATTACATCCATAAATTTAGCTGCCAGACTTAGGTTTTTAAAATATTTCAAATGATTTTTTTTCAATGCATAGATATAGATATATAGGTATATAGATACAGACAAAGGAAATAAATTTTAATATTGGTGAATTAAAGTAATTTTCTGAAAATATACATACAGGAATGCAATCCGGATAATCAAATTTCCCATCCACACAATTAGCTCTTAATGATCTGGTATTTGGATGTGGTTTATAGCCTCTTAAACATACAAATTCTACTGTAGTTCCATCTTCAACATATATTTTATTCCTGTTGCTCCACCTCAGCTTTATATTGTGTACTCTCATATCTTCTTCATTTGCTGTACAAGCAGCTGCAAAAGGACACAGATCAGATGACATATAGAAAGTTTTAGAGTGAGGAATTCATTTGATAAAAGTAATTAAAGTTTAGGTTAGAAATTCTATGTTGCAATAGGTTAAAATGATTAAAGATCTATTTAAATGGATCCCCCCTTTTTTCTTTTGTCTCTCATGAACTAATCATCAGTCATGATAATTAGTTTTAAGCAAGACAATGTTATATGTGTAAAAGGAAGAAGAAAAATATTGTAGTCCCCTTCTTCAAATTTCCTCATACTGAATGTCTGAATTAGGAGAAGACCAAGTTCAGGCAACTTCTCTTAAAATATCTTCTTTTTCAACATTTATTAATTAAATGGGACTAAATGTGATTAAGTCAGCAGAGTCATACTTAGCCTATTTAAATAATAATAATTTTAGTTCTCTAGAGATTAAACTAATACTATCATTCAAAAAAAAATAAGCTGAATTTCGGCTTAGGAAAAGCAGAATTTCATTAGGATGATTTAACAAAATTGAGGAAAACATTTGTAAATGGCAAAAGATCTTGTACAATTCTCCATTATGAAGCAGTTTCTCCCAGAGAGAGTTACTTTATCTTGGTTCATAATACTACCACTTGTTTTGACCAAGGCTTCCTGAGACTATAATTAAGCACATGCTTAGTCCAAATAATTCTCTTTTTATTTCAACGCTGGGAATTATATTCATTCCCAGCCCGTAATGAGTTCCAAACAGTCTCTTGAGATAAGCACCCACCTTTAACTCTCTTGAATTGCTGCCAACAACTAAAGTGCCAAATTAACTGTAAAAAGCCAAATTGAGTACAAAGTCCACACAGAGCTTCAAGGTTTAATCCAAACAGAGCGAACAACATTGCTTCCTACAAAGGTTCCTGCCCTTTGCTCCTCCTTTATATCTTATGGGAAGGGCAACCACCTCCAAGCCTTACTCCCAAGTTGCCCCTTTTGTCTTAACTGTTCTTGCCTTCTGGCAGCTCTGTGCATAAGCACACTGGGAACAGGCTCCCCTTGTTACGCTGCCTCGCTGCTGTCAGAATCTGGAGTCTTCGGAGTCAGTAAATAACTCCCAGATGGCCTTGGCCCCATCTCTGTATCAGTTGCAGGACCATCATCCGAGTTCTCCCCAGACTCCCAGACTGGCTCCCCACTGTCCGACTCTGCTGCTGTCTCCACAGGCTGCCAGCGGACCACAGCACTACTTCTATTTCAATTATAAGGAAACAAAATATCTTCTGGCACTGACATAACAGCTCTGGTGTCATGAAATTTATTCCATTCCCAAAGTACAATATTTATCTATAAATAATAAATCTATAAAGAATTATAGATAATACTTATACCTCTACATATTGGTGTTTGTGACCAAAGACCGTTTTGACAAGTCACTCTTGGAGAACCTTCCATTGTATAGAAATTTTGGCACTGATAAGTTACAGTTTCAGATGGGAAATAGGTTGCCTTGGATATGTCCACAATGTCTCCATTCTCCACAGGAGGTGGGCGTCCACATTTCCCCCCAATATCTATAATAGATACAGAATCAATTGAGCAACATCTCTCAGGATTACAAATATTATTGTGTATTTGTCAGAGTATATTCATGAACTGGAATAGAGCTTGGTAACAAGATCAGCATAGGTAGGCATAGCAACTAAATCAGCCAATGAGGATAGTTTTGAAACTGAAACCAGGATTAGCCTAGGCTGGAAACTGAAACTAAAAGTAGCTTAGGTGTGGCCCAGTGGTGGGATTCATATTTTTTTTACTACCAATTTTGTGGGTGTGGCTTGGTGGGCATGGCAGGGGAAGGATACTGTAAAACCCCCAGTTAGAGGTGGTATTTGCCAGTTCTCCCACTACTGATTCTCCAGAACTGGTCAGAACCTACTAAATACCACCTCTGGCGTGGCTCTGCAACTCTGCAGCTTTGTTGAGCTCTGTAACTCTGAAGCTATGTTGAGCTCTGAGTCTATCTATTGAAGATGAAACTAACTTGCTTGCTGAACACTGGAGCTCTGTTCTGAACTTGCAACATGTTTCTGTTTGAGTTTACTCCATACTGGAGAAATCTACAGCTGGTTTGTAAAATCTATTTATGTTTATAAAGATGTTAAATGAAGCATCAGCCATCTGTGTTTATTTTTCTGGTACTGAATTATTGGTGCAAAACTCTCAATAGGTTATGGGCTCAGAAGCCCAGAGAAAAGACTAAATTGTACTTAAACCTGAGAGACTGCCTGTTTTAAAAGTAAGAAACAAGGCAAAAGGCTTGCAGGATGGCTGAAAAAATTAAAGAGAGTTCTCTACCCCATTTGGGTCAGAAGAACTAGATATATAGAGCTTGTTTGGGCTAAAAAGGTGGAATGTTTTCTGAAGGCTAAAGAGTTTTGGAATATTGTTGAAAATCCACCCCAGGCACCATTGAATGCTGCAGATCAGAAACTGCATGATAGAGCATTTGCTTATATCATCTTAAGTTTAGAAGATGATCAGTTTATCAATGTAGCTGATTTAAAGACTGCAAAGGAAGTCTGGGATAAATTGAGGACTGTTCATGTGGTTGTATC